AACAACTAATTTGAAGACAACATTTCATTGCAGTAAGTGCTGTGAAATTCATATTTTGTTTAGTGAAATTCTGTGTCATTTGCAATTTTTCTGTTTTAATATTATTTTGTATTCTTTAAAAAATAAAAAAAACATTAAAAAATAAACTCATTTTATCATATACCATTGTGTTTAAATCATACTAGCTGAAACTTGGCCTGTGGTAAAACTTAGCTTAAAGTTTAGGGGCCACTGAGATAGCTCAATAGAATAAGCACTTGGCTGGGAAGGGCAAGGTCCTGAGTTCAATTCCCAGTACTGAGGGGGAAAAAAAAGAAAGTTATATCTTGGGCTAGGAAGATAGCCCAGTGACATAAGTTTGATTGTTGGTGCAAAAAAAGTTGTATCTTTTAATTGGATGTTATGAAGAAAGAAGGAAAAATGGAATATTAGATACACCTCTCACTAACGGCTTGTGTTGAATTTAAAATCATTTATTTGTTTGTTTGTTTATTTATTTGGCACAGGATCTCGCTGTGCAGCTCGGACTCTGTAGTGATCCACCTACCTCAGCCTCCCCAGCACTGGGAACACAAGCATGTGTCACCATGACTGGTTTCGGTGGGTGGCATGGCATGCAGTACTGGGAATTGAATCTGGGTCCCTGCGTTTGCCAGGCAGGTGCTTAGACCACTGAGCTATCTTCCCCAGCCCGTGTTGGATATTTTTTTTTTTTTTTTTTTTTTAGGGAAGGGTCTACAGAGTGTTTAGTGTCTCACTACTAGATTGGACTCATAATGATCTGCCTGTTTACAACGTCCCACAAGCTGGGATTACAGGCACGTGCCACCACGCCCAGTCTCAATTGCCATCTCAGCCCGCCCCTGGGGGCAGGGTTGGCATGGCAGGCCTGGGGATCAAACTCTCCCCTGCACCTGCTTGCTGGTGCTTTAATCCACTGAGCTATTTGGCTGGCCCTCTTAAAGTTGAGATGGTTTTTTTTTTTTTTTTTTGGCTGGCTCAGGCTTCCTTAAGAATGGGTCTTGGTAAGGCTGGTTTAACTGGGGATCGATGCACAGTATCCTGTGCCTGATTGCGTTTTCATGAACAGACGCTTAAACAACTTAGCTTACCTGGGTATTTGAACTTAAGGGGTTCCAAACTATATGAAAAATTGTACAAGAGACAACAGGTAGAGTCCAAAATTTCATCTTTATAAGACTGACAAAGATGAAATTGAGAAACATAACTGCATTGTATCTGTAGCCATGTGTTCTAATATGGAACCCTAAGATTAAAAAGTGTTATTCATCTACTTATAAAAATGCTTAACCAAGTAACACCTGCCTCCATTAAATTTGTGGCACGAAAGAATAAAGCAAATGTTTATTTCCTGCCTGTAGGTTTTTTTTTTTTCCCTAACAGAAAAGGATGAGGATAAAGTAGGTCCAGGCATATTAATCTGTTAGCAGGAATGGGGAAATGTAACACTTTCTCTTCTCCCTTTATGCAATGGCTCATCCAAATAGTTTTAACAAGTTGCCTGGTACATAGTAAGTGTTCATTATATGATGACTATTCCAATACACAGTGTTAGTAATTCAAGTAGCTGGCACTATGTCCCATGGTCTGTACTTTTAATCTTCCCATATACATTGATATTTGAGACACCACATGATTTTCTGGGCAGTATTTTTTTTGATTCATCATAAAATGAGATTGATAGTTTTAAGAGGCTTCATTATACTTTTTAGGATACTAGTTTTAAATTTTAATGAGGTTAAAGTTCCATGTAAATCTAATGAAACTTATGTATATACAGCATAAATTATACATATGATTTCTGAGTATACGTGTACCTTAGGAAAAGAACCCACGGCTTAGATAAAATTTAAGTAACTACAAACACCTACATATCACTGTAAGCTGGCATTAATAAGCCAATGTAAGTAATTAAAAGAAAGGCAATAGTGGTTAAGATTACATGGGCTAGGGACATAGCTCCAAAGCCTAAACACCTGCCTGGCAAGCTGAAAGACCTGAGTTTGATCCCCAGAACCACATGTTGTGTTGGCTTAAAACCCTGGTCGGGTGTGGTGGTGCTTGCTGGGAAGGCTGAGGCAGGAGGATCAGGTCTGAGTTATGTAGTGAGAGCTATGTAGTCTGAGCTATGTAGTGAGAACCTGTATCCAATAAGTAAATAAATTAATTTTAAAAAAAGATCATGTGAGATCACGTTTAATCTCTGACTTTGCACACCTGTTAGCTCTTTGACTTAAGTCAGTTTTTAATCTGAGTACAGTGTTATCATTTTTTTAAATCAGTAAAATAGTGACAGTAGTAGTTCCTGTATCACTAAGTCGAGGACAAATTGAAGTAAGATGTACAAAACATTTATGGACCAGACACAAAGTATTCACTAGCTATTTGCCACTATTTTTATTGTCACTAATGATTTATTGTGCTTTGCCTTTCCAGTCTTACCCTGCTTGTCTTGTAGGTTTTAGTGACAAAAGTATCCTGAATTTTATAACTTAGAAATAAAATTATTCAGAGCAAAGAGCTTGATCCTTTAGATATGATTTTTTAAAAAGTTTTTAATAGTAGTCTTTGTGATCTTTGTTCTCTTTATATTAAAGAAGACAATTTTCTTCATATTTAGGCTCATTAGAGAAAAGGTCTTAATTATGCTCTTCAAAGTTTCCAATTATTGTTTGCTTGCTTTTGTCTCATTCCCATCCCTCAGAAAGAGAAAGGTATCAGCTTAATGCCTTTGGCCTCTTGAGAACCTAGAAATGGCATTTGTTCTTTGTCAGAAGTGGTCTGAGGAAAAGTCCCTAACTTCCCCATTCTTTTTTGATAATAGAAGAGATGCACAAATACAGTTCTCTTAGGAGCTACAAACTTCCAGCTTTTTTATGGGCTGACTTTTGATGAACTACTTCTGTTCAAGTTTATTGTTATCAAGTTAGGGCCTGTTTACACTAGAATTTAACTTTTTAAGCAAATTGCAATATACTTATTTTTTATTGTGGTTACTTTTTGAAATTATCTTTTTTTCATGATGGTTGAGTGACAACTCATTCTGGAAAATTATTCAGAAAATATAGAATCATAAAGTAAAGGTCTCTTATAGTTCCACTCTGCCAGTCACTTTTACTTTTTTTATGATTCTGTCTAGACCCTTTTCTATAGTTGAATGTAGGTTAAAATTTTTATTTTACTCCAAAGTGCAATTTCCCTGTATGTGCTGTTTTCTGTTCTGCTTTTTTTCCTATCATAGTTATGTTTGTATGGTTATTTTAAAAAAAGATACTCTTCTACTTACAGTAAGCCTATTGTAAATTGAAAATGTACATTGAAATTATATTTAATGTAGCTAGTCTATTGCACATCATAGCTTAGCCACATAGTACAGCATAATGTAGGGTGTAATTGATTACCCTGGTGATTTCATGGCTGATTGCCTACCATTAGAAGAGTGTATCTCACTGCACATTGCTAGCCAGGGAGAAGATCTAAAAAACCTTTGTAGTATGGTTTCTATTCAATACTTACTGCTTTCACAACTATTTTAAAGCCACAGAATTGTAAATGAAACCATCATAAATCAGGGACTGTCTGTGTGCTGTTTTATTTTTGTATATTATTTTATTGAATGGATGTTAACTAGTTCCCTCTAGTTATGAGTAGTTATGTTGTTTATAATTTTATAGTAATTTAGTCACCTGTGAGTATTTTCCTGCATCTATTTTTTAAGTACTTGTGGTGCTGTTTTTTAAATGTTGAATTAGTGGGTCAACTGGCATCTGACTCAGAAAGTACCCTTCTTTAATCACAGTTATGTATTACTCATTGTATTATTTTCCAATGTAATAGTATCGATATCTTTGTATATTAATTTTTCTTTATTTTGTTCTTAGAAATTGAATATCTTGTATTTTTGCCCTGCTTGCTTTTTTGTGAGGTTAATTTTCTGTTTTCTGGTATATTTCCCTATAATATGTATATTTTGAAAACAAGCACAATTTTAGTTCTTGCGTTATATAGCAGGTTATGCTTTCTGCTTTTGAAAGAACTGAGTGCTTTAGAGACTGAGTTTCTCACTTAGCAGGTTATTTTCAGATATTAATATGTTGGAAATTAAGTAACTAGTAAATAAAACCAAAGCTTGCTAGAGTTCTTTCCTTATCTAATGTATGATTAAAGATGATGGAAATTCTTAATGCTTATTTGCACATAGAGGTATTGTACCTGATTTGGCTTAGCTGTTTCTTCTTCGCTGACATTTAGCCCTTTTTTCTTTTTCTTTTTTTAAATATTGGTATTTGGCACAGGGTCTGACTATGCAGCTTGGACTTGTAGTGATCCTCCTGTTTTCAGCCTCCCCAGTGCTGGGATTACAGGTGTGTGCCAACATGCCCAGACTTTGTGGCTGGTTCAGTGTGCCCCTGGCTGGGGATCTAACCCCCAGTCCCTGTGCTTGCCTAAGCAAGCAGTTAGTCCACTGAGCTGTCTGGCCAGCCCGACATTTAGCTTTTGATCATGATGTCTTTGTAAGTAAAATATTATACCTTTACCTACAGTTGTACATACTTTTCCTTTTTATTACTGTTGAAATGAAAACAAAATGGAAATTACTGATTCAAACACTCACTTTAGTAAATATTCTTTTGAACATCAGAAGAAAGGTGCATTGAAAATAATCTTTCTTTAATTTTTTTTTTTTAGATTTTTATTCTTTTGGTAGAGGGTCTCACTACACAGTTCAGACTTGTAGTGATCCTTCTGTCTCAAGCACCGGAATTACAGGCGTGTCCTCCCCAACACTGGAATTACAGGCGTGTGCCACTATGCCTGGTTTTGGGGTTGCAAGGGGTACCTGGAAAGCCCGGGCCACCACGCATCCAGACCTTGTGCTTGCCAGGCAGATGTTGAGCCCACTGAATTATCTCCCCAGCCCCTGGAAATAATCTTTCTGTATGACAAAGTATATGTTGCTTTTTTTAAATTCCTTTTAGAAGAAAAACAACAGTGAAGACATTATGTATTTATGCCGACTACAAGTCTGATGAAAGCTACACACCAAGCAAGATCTCAGTCAGAGTAGGAAATAATTTTCATAATCTTCAAGAAATTCGGGTATGTCTTTTCAATTTTTAAAATGTCTTCCTTTAATTCTTGTTCTTTAGAAAATAGTTCCAGTTGCCATTTGATTAGATTAAAATTTTAACATATTAAAGGAAATTGTTTTGATATAGAAGAAAATAGATTTGTATATATTTTTTATTTTCTGTTGAATTCTGATTATCATTTGTGTTTTCCTTGATATTTTATTATGGAAATTTTTGGATACAGAAAATTAATTAAAAGAATTGTACAGTGAATACTAATATATTTGTCTCCTGAATTTTTCAGTTATTGTTTTGCTGTATTTACATTAAAATTTGTTAATCTTATATTTTATGCATTTCAGAATAAGTTGCAGGTATCTGTATTTTCATCCTTAATATTTCAGCTGAATACATTAGTAGAACTATGAATATTTTAAGGATAAAATTGATGTATAGCTTTACACAAATCTTATTTAGATTATTTGGTGAGTTTTGACAGATGAATAGCCTCAAACTCCTTTAAGATGTAGAACATTTCCACTGCCATAGAATATTCTTTAATATCCTTTCAAGTCTGTCTATACTTCCACTCTAGTATCCAAGATAAATAATGTTTTAGTTTCATTTCATTTCTTTTTTTTTTTTTGGTGGAACCGGGGATTGAACTCAGATCCTTGCGTTTGCCAGTCAAGCGCTTATCCTACTGAGCCATCTCCCCGGCCCCAAATACAAAGAGTCGGGATGGGGGTGCGAACCGGCAACCTCGCGCTCCAGAGCCTGGCGTGGAGACCGCCGCTCTAGGTCGCTGCCTCATTTCATTTCTGTAGATCTGTTTTTTATGTTCTAGAATGTCATAGGTGGAGTCATATAGGATATAACTTTTATATAAGAATTCCTTCACTCAACCTAATTTTGAGGGGATTTGTTATGTTATGGCATGTATTAGCACATCATTCTCTTTTATTTCTTTGTTGTATTCTCTTGTTTTAATAAACCACTAATTATTTTAATTTCTTGAAACTATTAGGTAGTGTTTTTATGACTTGAATTGTACTGTTCCCCTAATATTAGCATTTTAGAGATATTATCAGTGACTTTGAATTGTGCTCTTGTGAAACTCTGGTTCTTAGTATTTTTTTTTGCCAGAAAAATTACTGAACCAAAGTAATCTTTAAAATCAGTTGTTCTGGGGCTGGGGAGGTAGCTCAGTAGGATACGCTTTTGCCTGGCAAGTGCAAGAACCTGAGTTTAATCCTCGGTTCTGGGGAAAAAAAAATATTAAAAAAAAAATCAGTTCTAAGAAATCTGGGAAGAGCTAAGTAATATTTGGAAGACATCTAGTTAACTTAGATGTTAAACATAGTTGATTTAGTGTTTATATTAAGATCTTGTTTCCACAGTTATATTTCTTATAATAAACTACTGAGTGAAAATCACAGGTACTGTCATTTATAGCTTAGGTACATTGGATCATCTGTGTATAACTGGGTGAAATTCCACATGAACATGGTGATTCTTTTAATGTGCTGTTGTACACAGTTTGCTAGTGTTTTATTGAGGAATTTTTGCATGTGCAGTTTTCAGGGATGTTGAGATATATATATATATATATATATTTTTTTTTTTTTTCCCATTGTACTCTTCTTGTCTTTGGCATCAGGGTAATGCTTGCTTCATAAAGTGAATATAAAAGTGTTCTGTCTTCCTTACTGTATTAGCTTTCTCCTCTCTGGAAAATAATACCCACTGCACACATCTTAATGAAAGAAAGGCTTAATGTAGCATATAGTTTCAGGAGATTAAGTCCATCTCTAAGGCAGAAACATCATGATGAAGAGGAGTGGAAGAGGAAGCTTCCCAGTGCATGGTGGGCAGGAAACAGAAGAGGGGAACAATGCCAAAGAGTAGGGAGGCAGTGACAGTATAAACCCAAAGTCACACTTCCTTGACCCAGCCAGTTACATGCTTTACTAATCTTTTGGGTGACTTCCAAGCCAATCAAGTTGACACAGTTAAGCTTAACTGTCATCAAGTGGTTTTGTTTTTTTTTTAAAGAAGTTTAAGAAGTGTATTAGTCATTCATTTAAAAAATATACATTCAGCAGTGAAGCTATCAGGTCTTGGACATTCTTGATGGGAAACTTTTTATTACTTATTCTATTTTTGTACACACTATTGGTTTATTTGGATTTTTCTATTTCTTCATAACTTAGCCTGGGTAGGTAAATAGTAAGTTTCTACGAATTATCCTTTTCTAGGAATAATTTGTTGTTGTAAAATTGTAGTTGCTTCTTATGATCTTATATATTTCTGTGGTAATGTTTCCTCTTTAGTTCTGATTATCTTTTTGGAAAACAACTCAGTTTTGTTGATATTTCCTGTTTTTTTTTAAGTTTATTTTTAGCTTATATCTGTCCTGAAATTATTTCCTTCCTTCTGATGTCAAGCTTTGTTTCTTCTTTTTCTAGTTCTTTGAGGGATAAAATAAGGTTGTTTATTTGAAATCTTTGTCATAGAGGTTTGTTACTATGAATTTTCTCATTAGAACAGCTTTTGAAGCGTCCCGTTGGTTTGGCATGTTATATTTTCATTCTCATTTGTTTTAAGATACTTTAAATTTTCCTTTCCAATTTCTTCTTTGTTCTATTGCTTGTTTGGGAGCATGCTGTTTCATTTCCACGTATTTGTGAAGTTTATGAAATTTCTCCTATGTTAAATTTCATATAATTATGGTCAAAAAGATATTTTATATGATTTCAGTCTTCTTAAATTTATTAAACTTGATTGGGTTTCAACATATGATCTGTTCTGGAGAATGTTTCCAGTGTGCTTGAGAAAAACATATATTCTGTTTCATGAAATGTTCTATGCATATGTTAAGTCTCCTTGGTTTAAAATACAGTATAAATCTAAGGGTCGGCGAGATATCACTAACAGATCTGTCTAATAAATGCTAACGGAAATTTTTCCAGCTGAAAGAAAAAGATGCTGAATAGTAATATGAAAGTGTATTGCAAGTATAAAACTTAGTGGCAAAGTAAATACATGATCAAACTGAGAATACTCTGATACTGTAATGATGGGGTATATAACATTTGTACTTTTTGTATGAAGGTTAAAAAAAACCCCGCAAAATATGGAAGAGGGCTGGTGAGATAGCTCAGGTAATGGGGCCAGGGTCCACCAAGAAGGTGAAGAGGACCAGTGAGATAGCTCAGCAGACTAAGCACCTGCTTAGGCAAGCTCAGGGACTGGGGTTTAATCCCTGGCACCACATACCGTGAGGGCCCCACCTCTGGACACACTGAGCTGGCCACCCAGTCCAGGTGTGGTGGCACACACCTGTAATCCCAGCACAGGGGAGGCTGAGAACAGGAGGATTGCTATGAGTCTGAGCCTAGGCTGACTTCACCTCCTGTCTCAGCCTCCTGAATGTTGGAATTGCAGGTGTGTGCCATTAAATCCAGTTTGTATATTGTTTCTTGGTTGTTTTGTTGTTCCTCTATTCCGTCTCTGTCTTTATGATTAGGTAATTTTATGTAATGATATGCTTTGATCCTTCCATATTATCTTTTTTTCTTTCTTTTTTTGTGGGGTCTTACTATGCAGCTCTGACTCATAGTGATCCTCCTGTTTTCTGCCTCCCTAGTGCTGGGATTACAGGTGTACGCCACCATGCCCAGACTCCATCACTGGCTTAGCACACCTGAGAGCAGGGCTGGTGTTGCATGCTGTGCCAGGGATTGAACCCTGGCCCCATACCCTGAGCTATCTCGCTGGCCCTCTTCCATATTATCTTGTTGTTGTTGTTTTTTTTTAACCTTCATACAAAAAGTACAAATGTTATATACCCCATTATTACAGTATCAGAGTATTCTGAGTTTGATCATGAACTTATTTTGCCACTGAATTTTATACTTGCGATATATTTTCATGTTACTATTTAGCATCCTTTTCTTTCAGCTTGAAAAATTTCCATTAGCGTTTATTAGACAGATCTGTTAGTGATAAAGTCCCTTAGCTTTTTGGAAGAAATGTTTTGATTTTTCCTCTATGTCTGAAGGACAGCTTTTCTAGGTGCAGTATTCTTCACTGACAATTTTTCCTTCAGCACATTGAATATATCATACTTTCTCCAAGGCTGTGTGTTTCTACTGCTAGTGTTAATTCAAAATCATCTGTATATGTTTTGTTTAGTTTCTCTCTCTCTCTGCTTTTAGGATCCTCTTTGTTTTTGATAGTTTGATTATTTCTTGATATTGGCTTATTTAGACTGAAATTGATTAGAGTTATTTGACCTTCTTGTGCCTGGATATTTTTTGTTTTCCCAGATTTGAAAAGTTTTTTGCTATTAACTCTTTAAATAATCTTAATTCTTTAAGCCATGTCTTCTTCACCTTTTATTTTTTTGGGGGGGCGGCTCAGCCCACCCTGGGGGCAGGCTGGCACCGCTTGTGGTGCTAGGGATTGAACTGTGGTCCCTGAGTGCTTGCCTAAAGTTGCCTAAGCAGATGCGCTAAACTGCTGATTTTTTTTTTTTTTTTTTTTTAATGCCAAGATAAGAAACAGTTTATTATAGAGAAAAGAAAAATTTCTTATCCAAAATATAGAAATCTGTACAACTTTGCCATAATCAATATACATGAACTGTACAAATTTACACCAGTTCATAATTTACTAAATAAAAGATGACTAACAAAGTTTACAAAATAGATGGTGGTTTGTGGAAAAAGACTTTTACCCAATTAAGTAAAAGGAAAGTTACAAACCAGACCTCCACTTTCTAAAAATAAGAAGTTTACTCAGTCTTAGAAAACTACAAGCTAGCAAATGCTAGGGAGCAAGGTCCTAGGCTGGTTTCAGTTTCTCCCGCTGAGCTATCTTGCTGGCCCTCTTCAGCTTCTTGAATCCCATAATGTAAATATTTATCCTTTTCATACTGCCTCATAAATTCTATAAGCTTTCATTTGTTTTCATTGTTTTTCTCTTTCTACTATATTTTCAAATAACCAATTTTCAGCATAGATT